TATATATATTTTACTTTTTTCATTTCCTATAGATATATTAAACATCCTGGTGGACAGAATATAACAGATGAGTATTTACAAACAGGTATCTATGAAATTGAAATTATGGGGAAAAAATATTCTTCTGATATATATTTAAAAAGCCCATTTGATCCTCAAAATAAACGACTGCGAGGAATTTACTGAATTTAACATTAAAGCATTACAATTTTATATAGTTAAAAACATAATAATTAGGTTTGATTTATATATTTTATACTGGCATTAATCTTTTAAGTACGACGAAAAATAGTAAAATAATTTCTCAATATGAAGACTTTTCTTGAACTATTTCTTTTTTCGATTATATTTCGTTATAATAGTAAAATAGGTCGAATAGATTAGCAAACGATTAATACTTATTATGAATTTGCATAACCAGTGTAAATTACTTTAAAATTAAAATAAAAAGAAAAACAGAAAAAAATAATTGTAAAGATCATTCAAGAAAATAAATGAGAACACTTGAATTATTCGGATAGTACAATTATTTTGTGCAAATACTATGCACATATTTTCATTATTTTTTCATAATTTCATAATGGTAAAGTATTTTTTCTTTATGTATATATATGTACATATTTTATTTGTTGAAATTTTACAATACTTTTGTTAAAATTTGTTATCATACAAATATTTTTGGCATTTACTGTATCTTAATTAATATTTTTTGTCAATCAATTAATTTGATTTTTATGAATGAATAGTACTATATGTATTGAAATTATTATACTACGTAGAAAAACAAAAATACTTTACAAAATTATAATCTATTACAAAGATAAAATATTTATTTAAAAAAAAAAATTGAATGAGTTTGTATTTCGTACTATCGAAGATTTTTTATATCGTAAATAAATCGACTATCGATTAAATTTATTTTTGTGTTAGTAAAAAAACAAAATTATGACCATCTATAGATTCGTCTGTTTAGACATTATACCAATCACGTATTGATATCACAAAGGGCTTTCAAAGAAGACTGTACTTCATGTAATTCAGCGCCATCTTAAACGAGAAATGACCACTGCTAAGATCAAGTTGTTGTTAAAAATTATATTGAATGTGCATATTTTAAAAAGCATAAAGAACGTATAAAGAATGATAATAAATTAGTAAAGATAATTTTTGACATGAAAATATTTGATAATAATTTTTTGTTCATTATATAGTAATACTTTCGAACTGTTTAATAGAATATTGTAGTTGCGTGCATCGCCCATCTTACGAATTTGACTTTAGTGCATGGCTAAAGGAATTTTCATAGTAGCGCCGTTTTACATCTGCGGACTGCGTTTATACTTTCCTGTGTGAGTAACGGTTAGGCGAAAAAACATTAACGAACTCTCGCGATACGCTTCATTCCCCCTTAAAAAGCGGAAATCGTGTTAGGTGATTCTGTAAATGTGCAATTTTACTCTTTATTAACATCGGATAGAAAATAAACGGAATCTGAAAAGTGCATACGCAACGACAAAGTGACAGCGAAATCCGCTCGAGTGGCGTGTCTGTAGAAGCGACTCTGTTTGGGCTTGCATGACGTAATTGTATTGATCGCAGAAGAAGAGCCGAAAGTCGCGCATTCGCCATCTTGGACGAATTGTGGAAAAGAAGTATCTGTGTCTCTCAGGCGCGGTACGATTGTTGAGACTTGAGACTGTAATCCGTGGAGATCCGTGTATTAAGTAGTTTTAAACGGGACTTAACCCCTTTGTGAACTGGTAACCCATTTGGACGGACCAAGGTAAGCAATTATTTTGTTAATTTGGTTCTATCCTTCGTGGACTCTCCTTTTTCTATATAGATGCTTTAAACTCTCTTGAACTTCCCCTCCCCTTTAATAGTTTTTCCTTTTCTTATTGTTTCTCCTAATATAGCATAGTGTAGACAAATTTTTTCATGTGTAGGTATCCTTATCGAATTAAAGCCCGTTCGAGGAATGCATGATTTTTTTCCGTTCGATCATAGAGGATCGTTGTTTTGAGCGGTTCGGTGATTTTGACATCGCGATAGGGAGGGTTGCGCCTCTCGTGCAACTCTCCTTTTCATAGATCCGCATGTTCGATTTGTTATTTTTCCTAAAAATACTATTTTATTTTTTTATTTCTAACAATTATTTTATTTATTATTCTTTCTATTTATTTAAATTGAAAATATAGTATACCTTGGGTTAATACTACGGTCTTTCATTCATTATTATAAACGAGTTTAAAGATATTTTACTATGTTATTTTTTTTTTTATTAGTATTGTTGTTATAATACTTAAATTTAATTAAATCTTAATTATAACAAGTTTCAAAAATCATAATAATAATGATAATGGTTATATTATTTTAAATATTCTTAACCTACTATTGGAAAGTTTATTTTTGATATTGTATAAAAATGCAGTTTCAACTTTTTATTAGCTTTCTTTTATATGGTTTAATAATTAAAGTAAATAATACATTAAATGTTTAGTTCACTTTTGTACGAATATTATTGTAAAGTAACTTTTCTATGGTTATGTATTGTATATGACTTTTCATATTTATAAACAGAAAGATAATGAACTAGTGTAACACCACTTTTTATTTTAGACAAACGGTTCGTTCTTTGGGTCTGATTGGTACTAAATGGTTGCCTGCAGACAGCATGTCTACTCTGTCAGGGATTTTGTCGAAGGGGGAGAAAGGAAAATCGAAGTTTCAATCATTAGATATCAATAATTTGTATCGGGTAAGCAGGGTAAGTTGACAATTGCATTATATTATTTATCTTTTGATATTTAACGTGCGATAATGTCTATTTATTATATATTATATTATATTATATATATAGGGAGAATCTTTGGAACAACATCAACAAAAAAATACATTACCCCGCAAACATGGCATGCAAACCCTTGGAAGGGTGCCCTCGGCACGGAGACCTCCTGCTAATTTGCCCAGTTTGAAAAGTGAAACTAGTAGCAGCGACCCAGCTGTTAGTCTTGTACCTAGTGGAGGAAGTGGTTGGGCAACTACCAAGGATTCAGGAACTACAAACACTAATACTACTATATCTACAACAGCAACAGATTCAAACACAGTAGGTTTTATAATTGTGTGCTTTATTTTTATCTCTACCCATCTTCTTATTAAGGTATATATAAATATTTTTTTTTATTTTGACATTAAAATTTGTATTCTTTTTCAAGACAAATTCATCACCAACACAATGTGTAACGGGACAGACTGCACCAGCATCTCTTCATCCACTCTTACCAGGCCCACCAAGTGGTACTCCACATTCTTCCGATGTAAACAACAAATCATCATGGAGCGCGATTATGAGCAAATCAGGAGATGGTATGTATTTTCTGTATTGCTTCTGTTTTGTTTTTGTTTTTGTTTTTAATAATATTAAATTATTAATAATTTAATAATATTAATAACATAAATTTGATAAAAAAGAAAATACTCTTCTGCAAATTCAAAATATTGAGAGAAATATCATAAATTATGCAACAACAAAAAATGCTTTGAAAAGAACCTAAATAGAGAAAAATGCATACTTTGCTTTAGTCTTGATCCTCTAATTATAAATTCCTTCCTATGTATCATTAAAAGAAAGCATGCCACCTATTCATGCCACTGTAAATTGAAAAATTAATATCATTTATACTTTAAGCAAAACTAAAAAAAGAAACAAAGAGAGAAAGAAAAAGAAAGAGAAAAATGAAAAATAAACTATATTAATATGCTGTTTTTTGCATAGCAATATTTACCACGCATATCAGTTAGAAATTGGAGAAACAATCATTGTTGTTCTGCGTATATTACATTTGAAAAAAATAGTAGTAGCTTTGTACTTTGAATTATTATCGAGGAATATGAATAATGCTTACAAAAATAAAGCACGTTATATGGTACGGTGTACAGTCATCATGATTAACTCTTCAACTGCGATGTGTCTGAATTAAAGAGCATTTAAAAATCATATTCACTGAGATATAAAAAAAAATTGAAATAATTTAAAAATATATATCCCATTCTTTTTATATATATATATGAGTAACCACTTACGTTCTTTGTAGCTAAATGAGTTATATAGTTCTTATGTAAGTATATATATATATGTATATGTGTATATATAAATATATTCATATACATGTCATGTACTTCATTATTAAAATTGGAAATATAATTGGAAGATAATTATTCAATTAATATAAATATTATCATTTTAATGATGCTTATGAAAAACTATAGGTGGTCTTTTTTGTTTTAACTTTTTCATTTGTATCGCTGTAACAACAATAAATAATATGTAAGAAAATAATATAAATTAACTAGAGTAATAAAAGGATTTATAATTATTTGATTTCTATGTATCGTATCAATGGATGTTGAGATACCAATCGTAAAATTAAATAAGTAATACTATAGTGTTACATTCATATAAAAATCCAGAATTGGATCTATTAGAGATATGTGTGAGAATAATGATTTAATGACATGGGATATTATTAATATTATGACTTATTTGTTATTTTGTAATAAAATATTTAATATCCACTTCTGGGTTATAAATTAGAGATAATAATCTCAGTAAAATTGCCTGAATAGTACAATTAATTTATATGTATGCCCATTGTGGCAGCAGTGGTTGGATACGCGGGGCTCGTGGGGGGCGGAAGAGGGGGAAGAAGTGCCCCTGGGCTGAGTTTCCTTGCCCACCAGTCCCCGCAGTTCCAACACGAGTTTCCCAGTCTCAGCGGACAGCCCTCTGTCTCCGCCTCCAATCAGAGCCAGACTCAAGAGTCCTCGGCAACATCCAATGCGATCTCAGTCGCTGTCCAACACCACTCATTGCTACAGCAACAGCCATATTCCCACAACCACTCAGGTGGGATGCTGCTTGCTTGTCGCTGTTAAAGATCAAATTTGATTCCTTGCAGTAGTGCTTCTAGTGCTTATTCCCCAAAAGCTTTTTATTCTATGCTATTATCAAAATCATATTACAATCTGATAAATACATGTTAGAATTGAAACATAGAATGTTTTGATTATTTATGGTGTATATATTATTCTGTTATAATTAAGATATAAAATGTTGATCCTAAACTTTAAATTTATTCATTTTAGCATTTCTGTATTATAATTTTATAAATCCAATGGTTATCTCAAGTTATAATATTTATTATATACATATTATTTTATATAATTTGTTTCATACAACGTATTTAAGTTGATATGCTATATATTATCATTTTTAGAATCTTTATTGAAAGTTTATTTGTTATATATTTGTCTAAACTTGTTAATTGCATTTAGTAACATAATGTTCCAAAATATAAATGTTTAAGTACATCAGGAATGTGTTCAAATAGTTGTGCTCTAGTAGTAACACAATCTTCGTTGAAAATTAATTTTTTTAATTAAGTATCGAATATTTATATAACTATCAAAAAATAAGATTTTTTAGTATTAAATCTTTAAGTTTGTATATAGTATAATTTTCAACGAAGATATATTAAGTATGTTAATAAATTAAAATGGTTTAGATACACCAAATGTGCACGTGTTTTTTCATATGAACATTTTGGTTAAACTTGTATTATTAAAGTACCTTTTTATAAAAATGTAACGCATAGAGAATGTTTCAGACAAAAATATAAGTATATAGAATATTAAAAAATGATTTTTGTAAAACTATACATAGTTATAGAGATCTGTTAGGACCATGCACTGTGCAAACAATAAGGTTCAACAGTTCCTAGGCAAACGAAGGGAGAAGTTATATATATACTAATAATAAACGACTATAGTTGAAAAGTTTTGAGCATGTATTAAGCTCACAGTCATATACTAGGCTTAAGTTATTAAGTCTTCTTGTTTGCAAGGAGTTATGATCATAATGGACCTATACAACTATGTAGTTTAAGCAAAAATCGGTGTTTTAAAGGTCTGATAGAACTCCTCTGTGTGTTCATGTTTAATTTATAATAAATATTAACTTAGTAATAATATGTATATACTGTCATCTGAAACATTAATCTATAACAGTGGTGTCAAACGTGTTACCTATGAAATCCTAATTGTAAGATGCAAAATAAACGCCCATTTTTTTCTGCCTGATTAATTTTATTGCTGAGATTTTGTTTTTCTATCTGTGCCTTACAAATTTTCTTGAAAAAAAAAAAAACTGATTGCCTATAAGAATCATATATGAATTTGACACCACTGATTTATAACATTTCTTATGTTTTTATTAATAATAATAAATGTATCAAATCTTGAAAAAATGAATCTCACTTTTTTTTAGTTATTTATGTTAAAGTTCTTTTTAGAAATGTATATTAATTTATACAAACAGCTGGTGCTTTTAATAGTTTTTGCACAAGTATTTCTTCATGCATTGTTTATTATTTATGCAGGGACCATTTATATGCCACTGCACTACACTATAATAGTTGACAGATATTTTTATCGCATGAGTGTTACAGATTTGACTATTAAGAGTCTCAGCTGTAAACTTGATCTCACAAGTTATTTTACATTATATATTTTAAATATTCTTAGGAGGTCCACCAACCAATCAACAGCAACAAACGAATCGAGAATTAAATGCACAGTATGGTCCTGGACCAAGTCTACGTCCTCAAAGTAAATAATATAATAAATATGGTGTTTATATTTTTAATAAAATATAAATACAATATTTATGATTAAAATGTACTGTATAAATTTATAGCAGAAGGAAGCTGGATTCAAGGAGGAAGTCGCACGACCAGCGGAACAACACCACCAGCAGGTGCTCCCGGAAATGGGAATACTCCGGCGGTCCAGGGCCCCCCAATAATCAGTGGTTCTGCAGGACATACGGAAGCACTCCCTGGCGGCCGACAGAACTTGGGCCAGTCGCCCAACATGGCTATGGCCCAGGCAGGCCAGAGTACTTCCCCGAACAGTCAAGGTCCACTTCCTTCTGGCTCGCATCAGGCTAGTCTTAACTTAAACACTATTATCGAGAATTTATTTCTATATTTTTGTGACTTTCTATTTAGTAATTTATGTTTTACATTTTCAGGTTTATAGAGGAAATTTCCCAAGTGGATTTCCATCTCAATTTGCACCAAATGTAGGACCAGCAACAGTAGCAGCAGCAGCAGCGGCGGTAGCAGCAGCGGCAGCTGCTTCAGCACCACGGCCACGATTCAATTATCCTCCAGATCGCTTTCCTATTCCTCAACGAACACAAGAACGCGATCGAGCTTCAGAGGAAGAAATCATAACGCGTCCTATTATAAAAGAAGAAGATTTAACAAGAATGGACGATATCTCGCGTGACGCAGGTTGGGCAGCGCACGATGATATTGATTATAACCAGAAATTGGCTTTTAGCGATGACGAAACTGAACCAGAATTACCGAAAAAGGAAGAAAAGAAAGATGTTGTCAAGACAGAAGAAAAATTAGATGAAAATCTTTCGGAAAATAAAGATAAGTTAAGGGATAATCGTGATAATCGAGAAATTGTAAAAGATAATAGAGATCAACTAACGCATCGTCCATGGAATCAAACCAATCTATCTCGAGATTTACGTGGTTCTAATGGTCCAAATTGTTTCTCTACTCAACCATCGCTGCAATCGGTGCATTCCTTGAGAGGTTGGAAATTATATTATTTATTATTATTATTACATGTATTTTATTCATCTTCTAACATCGATATTAATTATATATATTTTTGTTTAATTACTTAAGTAGATGCAGAAGATGACGAAGCGTGGTGCGAAAGACGCAGAGTAAAAGTTGAAGTTGCATTTGTCGTTAAACGTGCTCGACAACGCAAGGAAGAAGAAGAAAAAAGATTTCAAGAATCTACTAAACAAGCGGCAGCTAAAAAATTACAAGATTTGGAAAAGAAACTACAAGAAAAACAATCACGTCAAAAAGAAGATGAACGTGGACCACTACCTGAACCGAAAGGTCTCATTAGTGTTCCACCTGTACCTATTCCTGTACCCGAATGGGAGCGCGAGAAAGAAATCAGAGAACGTGAAAATCGAGAACGGGAACGAGAACGATCTCGCACTTCTTCTGAAGGAAAAGATGATAAATCTATTCGCGAATCTCGTGACTCTAGGGACAATTTAAGAGAATCAAGAGACACTCGCGATCAATTGATGAATGATCGCCAGATTGAACGACAAAATGATCGTCAGATCGAACGGCCAAATGATCGTCCGATCGAACGGCAAAATGATCGCCAGATCGAACGGCCAAATGATCGTCAGATCGAACGGCCAAATGATCGCCAAGTTGAACGGCCAAATGATCGCCAGATTGAACGGCCAAATGATCGACCGATTGAACGGTCAAATGATAGACAGATCGAACGGCCAAATGATCGACCGATTGAACGGTCAAATGATAGACAGATCGAACGGCCAAATGATCGACCGATTGAACGGTCAAATGATCGACAGATCGAGCGGCCAAGTGATCGTCAAATAGATCGTCAAATAGATCGTCAAATTGATCGTCAGATTGATCGTCAAATTGATCGTCAAATTGATCGTCAAATAGATCGTCAGAATGATCGACAAATTGATCGCCAAAATGAGCGACAAAATGATCGGCAAAACGATAGACAGAATGAACGGCAAAATGATCGACCAAATGATCGACAGAATTTCTTGAGACAAACAGATATATCAACACGTAGCGAACGTGAAAGAGAACGTGATCGTGATCAACGCGATATTAGAGATCGTGAATATCCTGGATTTTTGCGACACTTCCAAACTAACATACCGCCCAGATTTCAAAAACAACAAGCAGAAAGAAGCGGTTCTGGATTTAATCGCATTTCACCAAGTGCAGAAAGATCATCTTCTCAATCTGTTTCGTTTGCTCAACAATATGACACCGGAAGATGGGGCCATAACCATAATAATCTAAGTAAGTCTTTAAACTTGCTTTTTTTTTATATTCTTATTATTATGAAATGAATGTAACTACTCTCTTAAGTAATTAGATATTATAATCAATGAAAATTTGTATTAGTAGATAACAATGCAAAGCAATCACATGCAGTACCACCACCCCGGCGAAGTAGAATTGATTCGGATGTATCTTTACCATTGGAAGAGGATCGTTCTTCATCGCGCGATCATCGTGGACAACTGTCCAGAGAGGATCGTTACCGTCATCCTCCTACACATCGAAAATCAGGTGGCTATTATGATGAATATTCTCGCACCTATAAAGATTATGATTGGGAAGATAGACATTCTCGCGAACCTTGGGAACGTGAGAGACATTTCGATGATAAAGAACGGGAAGCAAACTTGGATTCAAGAGATGGTAGAGAAAGCAGAGAGAATCGACCGATTAGACAAAATCGAGACAGCCTCGAATCTCGTGATCGGGACAATAAAGAAAAAAAAGACTACGACAATTATTTGAAGGTAATATTTATTTTAATTTATTACCATTAACGCGCGTTATATTTTTTCGTATTGCAGCATATCAAATTATTCACACATACACACATAATTTGAAATTTTAATCAATTAATGGAGCATTTGTCGAATTATGCAGGTGGTAAATCATATTAAAAACTCAGCGAGAAAACATGAATAACAGTTTTCCTTGCATGTTATTGTTTTGCTTCTCACGCTTTTAGGTAAATACTTATATGGATGTGATCTTGAAGAACTGAAACAGTGCTGTCTACTGTATCTTAATTACAAAGAAGAGATCAAACCAATATTTGAATGAAAAAAAGAACAGCTACCAAAGAATTGCGTAACAGACAAAAGTTAGTGCACTTTCTGTTCATATATCTTCTTTTGATAGCGGTTTGTAGCAGAATTGATAAATATTAATTAGAAATTACATAAGTCTGTTATGTACACACTTGTGCTGCTGTTTCTTATATAAAAGTACATTGAAGCCATCAGGATGATGTACTTTGCAAGGAAAAGAATGCTTTGTGATTTCTCGCTTTTACCTGCTATTATATTATCAATGGATTTTTATTGCTCATGTTATCAACGAATAATATCAGTCCTTGCTATTTTATAAATGCTCCATAAAAATGGTTTATCACTTATAACTTTATATGTGTGTGCGTGTGTGCGTGTTACCGTATATAATAAAAACATGTTAAATTACGAAGTACGTTAAAACTCAAAGTTACTAATTCTTATAAATACTTTAGCTTTTTGACTAGTCAATTTGTGATATAATGGATTTAGGATCTTTACGGTAACATATATATATATATGTATGTATTATATTATATTTGAATTGTAATATATCCTACCAACAGTATACACGTCTAAATTATATGCAAATATTTATTTTGTTTGAATACACATATTAAAGATAAACATCGTTTCTTTAGGATACTTGCGATGAGCGCGAGCGTTGCGATGATAGAGAACGTTCCGACGGTTCCGAATGGCGTGACGACCGTACTCAAGAAAGACAAACTGAAAAACGACGTGAAATGCCACGCGAGGAACGCGTTGAACGTAATGAACGGCCACAAAGACCAGATTCGCGTGACAGTCGTACGTCAAGAGAATCTAAAACATCATCGCGCGATGATGAGCCTCATAAGTTGCGCGATTGTGGTTCATGGGTAAATGAAATCGCTGATTATGAAGAAAAGAAGCGAGAACTTTATCACGAAAGTAATAGAGAAAGAGAACGAGAAAGAGACAGGAGACAACCGCCCGGTCCTGTAACTAAAGATAAATTGGAAGCAGATGATTTAAAGAGCGAGAAACGTAACTTGACTCAATTGAAAAGAAATAATAATGAGCAAGAGAAGAAGGAAATGGCGAAAGAAACAGTAATTGAAACAAAAAAAGAAACTGACATACGTAACAGAAAATCTGAACGTATAAATGAAACAAGCAGTAGACCTTTAGAGAGAGGAGATAGTTCTCCAAAAGCTTGGGCCGATGCCGTATCACCGACGTTTGAAAAGGAAGAGGACAAAATATTGGAACCTTTCAAAGACATAAATGAAATAGAAAATGTTAAACAGAATTTAGAAAAATTGACATTAGAGAAAAGAGAGGATGTGCATATTGAAGATACAAATAAAGAACATATGAAAGAGGAAAAACGTGAGAAGAATACACGAAATAGAACAAGCAGTGGAAGTTCTAGTTCGCGTGCTCGAGACTGTCGTGGCGGACGCCAATGGGGAGGATCCATTTATACACGTTGGAGTGGTCAAGAATCTAGAGGAAGAAGAGGTGGCTCCAAGTCATCGGGTAGACCAGCATCCGCCAGAAGTGGTTCTTACGGTCATACCGATTCTGAAAATAGTGCAGACGAAGTCTCCGGCTCAACTGAATCAGGAAAAGAAGAGAGGAGATCTGCAAAATCACCCAAATTATCTCAGAAAATTGATAAGGAAGAGCGTAATAGAGAAGTATCTAGGCGAGAAGACAAACGAACTGGAGAATATTCTCAAACACGAAATGATAAACGTTCATATGATGGGAAACCAAGTCGTGAAGGATTCGCGCCATCCGGCGAACCATCCAGACGAGGTCGTGGTGGATTTAGGATAAGATCTTCTGGTAATAATAGTAATCGTATGGAAGGATATGGACCACCATCCAGTAAGAGTCCATTTTCATCGGAACGTAATACTGAAGAAAAACAGAATACTACTAAACAATGTTCAACGACAATTGCATCGGACAAGGAGACAAATAATCCTACAAATGCAACAATAGAGTCTAGTGATGATAAAATGATAGCAAAACAACAGGCTCTTACAGCTGGCATAACTGGTAGACGTACGAAGTCACCAAATCCTCAAAGTCAACAATCTAATAAACAAGATAGTCATCAAACATCTAGCAATATTGTATCACAAAAACCACATAAGAAAGAGGAATCTCTTTCCAAGAGAACTCGCAGTGGAAGTAGAAAGGTAAATATTTATTTATATATCATTAATAATTTGATTATTAATTGTATTAACAATTGATTGATATTTTACAGAGTAAGGATGCTCGAGAATCACGTTTCCGTGGTAGCAGCAATAATGTATCGAAACAAACCTCTTCTGACGTAGGTAACGAAGAATGGGAAACAACCTCTGAAAATAGCGAAGAACACATCGATGATCACAAAGAATCTCGCAATAGTCGCAACAAACATTTTAACGGACGTGGGAATCAAAATTCAAATCAAAATGCTATGAGCAGTAATTTACATTCTCGTAGGAATGATCAAGGTGGGAATAATCGAGATCAACGTGAAAAGAATAGCAAGTCTTCCAGTGCGTCGTCAAGAGCACCAGGAGCGGAGAAACGGAATGTTCCAAATTCTTCATTCTGTAATCAAAGAAATCAGTCGTCTATAAATCAATCCCAAAATGGTAGATCAAGAAGCCAAGGTTCTTCGCATAGTGGATCGATGTCCAATAAATCATCTAGTAATAAGGAAAATACTGTAAATCGTATTGATGAAATCAAGTTAAATGAACCAAATTTGGTTAATCAAGCCTTTAACGAAATGAACAAAAAAGGACAATCGAAAGAAAAGAAAATAGTTGATTCTGCTTCAGATTCGAATAATTTCACAGAGGACGGATCGACTATTGCGGAAGATAAACTAGACTCTGATGGCTTCCAAGAGGTTCGTTCAAAGAAAAATGTGAAGGAACCTAGACACCCCCAGAAAGATGATATCAAACCAGTAGTGAAGAAAGAAAAGGAACGAGAACGCGATCGATCAAAATCTAAATCGAACAACGGATCTCAACAAATTCCCCAACAATCTCAAAATATGCCATTATTATTGGGTCAATCTAATCAGCAGCCAGTGAATATGCAACCGAAGCAATATGATAAAAATGCGAAAGGTTTGAAACTTCCACCAAGATTGCAAAAACTTCAACGTATGACGAAACATCAACAACAGGCATTTGTTGATCCAAATGACTTAAATAAGATGAATAATTCTGGTAACAATAATATGAAAGATTCGTCTGGTGGTCCAGCACCTCCACCTTCTGTGAATGCTTGGGATAAACCTTTTATTAGTCTGCGTTCAAATTCTCCTTCCGCCGTCCCAGCCGATGTCCAATTGATGTCTGGTTTAACTTCGCAAAATGATCAAGTTCACGAAAATAACGAGCAAGCTAATTCTGGTAATAGCAGTCAACGAAATTCTCCAAGTGGTGAGAAGACTGGAAAAAATACAAAAGATACTCTCACAGAGAAGAATGTTTCCGATGTTTCTTCGCCACCTGTTCAAACTTTAATTTTTGAGAACACAAATTACTCGAAAACTACTAAAACAGCACCCGCTGATTTGGCCATGAAATCGAAATTTTCAAATCACGTTCAAAAACAACAACGTGTAGACAAGCGTGCAGAAATGGAAGAAGAAGGCAATCAGATGCACCAACATTCACAACAATCATTATCGGTTGCTTTCTCCAACAAACCAGGTGATCTTATGAAGAATAAGAACCAGGAACCTATACAAATGCCTTTGTCATTTAATAAAAATGAAGACAATGCCGATATGAAACTCGATTTTACATTCGATTCCGACCTATCTCAACTAACAGAAGACAAGAGCAAAACTTTGGGAATGACTCGTTCTATGCACATGAGCTCTGGACAAAATACAATATCACCCTCAACAGCTGAACTTAATTTGAAGATAGCTTCTGTTAAAAAGGTTTGGGAAACTGCTCCTATGCCGACTGTAGTCGAACATGAAGATGGTGGTAATGTCGTCAGTACCGCTAACAGTTTTCCTCAAGCTTTTGAGAACAGCGACGTCGATGATAGTTACAGCCCACATCAGCAGTACAACCAGAACAATATGAAAAATGAAATCACAACATCTACGAACGTGTGCAAGGTGAGTCACATTATGTTTCTATATAATTCGCTAATTATATAGAAATTCTATGAATTCTAAACACCCACATATTTATTAAATTTATTGTTGTGCATGTTATAAAACTATTGCATCACTTGAAATTGAATTAGCGGTTTTCCGCTATCCTAGATTATACCTCTTTTAGTTAGTTTTCTTTTATTTTTCCGCATTACTGAATTCGTACGAATTTCAAAAGTATTTTCATCCGAATGGTCCAGAGGAAGTAATTCAATTTAATCTATATTGAAATAATATAATATATATATCAAATGTGCACTCCATGTAATAATAGTATTAGAATATTGGATTATCGGTTGAAAGTATATTGTTTAAAAACATAAGAAATATATGGTCTTAATAAACTTGTTGTTAAAATGTCTTGTGAAATTACCAATGTGCGAATGTTTGGTCAATGTGTGACAATTTTCTATAAGCTCATTATTGGAACATTCGTGTATTAGATATGAAGTCTAAATATCGACAATTCTAAATCTACAGTTGAAAAGATAAAGGTAAGTAGATAGCGCGCTTGATCCAATGTATCATTTACAAGAGCTTTATTAAGCAAGACCGAACCTTCGCTTGTATTCTTCAAAAGTGTAAGCTCAAAGGGAAGCAGTGTTTTTTCAGAAAATTGTCATCGAGTAGTAAGTAAATCATGCAGTCCTTATGCACACATAGTTATGAGTGAGCTTATTTATCTTTATCAGAGTTTATCAGAAATCGCGGTATTGAAAAAAATTCATTTATCAAAAAATTTATATCATTAAATATGATTATTTTATTGAGAAAACAAGAAATCTCATTATATTGGCAGTTGACAGTGATGTATATAGCAAATTAAATAACAGAAATATCATGTCCCCTGTGGGAAGATGCTGACTCTTTGCCTGATGCGCAGCTGGTTCCCCCGCAGGTGAAGCCGCAGCAACAATCCGCGGGAAGCAATGGAACCCAACCTGGCTCTACTGTACCCGGTCCGAGTCCCATTGGAGCTGGACAAAGTCCCATGGGTCATCCACCTGCTAGCCTTCAAGGACCTTTAAGCCCTCCGCCATTTAATTCAACTGGTCAACCTTCTCATATAAACTATCAGGTATGTCATCTTATCAAATTTATAGGAATATCATCACATTTTTAATACAGTTTCAAATTCTTCTTTATATTGAGAGTTCTGTTTTTATTTTATTTTTATAATTAAAAATTTATTAAATTTAATTAACTCAATGAGCGTGTCGATATAATACACTTATTTGGTAATTTATCTTTTTTCAGGAATTTCCTCAATATCCTGGATCTCAAGCTGCACAATACGGTAGCATGTCTGCTATACCTTCACCACCAGCAATGTTATTCAATACAGGTTCTGGCCAATTACCAGCACAAGCAGGTGGTTTATATGGTGCTTTTCAATTGGATCAAAGTCGTTCTCCTTTCACGCAATATCCGCCCTATGGACCATCTCTACAAAGTTCATTCAACCAGCAAAATGTATACTTACCACAGCCACCACCACCGCCACCACATGCTCCAAGTGCGCCAACTCCTGACATGTATCCCAATAATTTATCTCAATATCGTATTGTAAGTATAATGATATAATCAAGAGATAACACATATAATTTAAGTAATTACTTTAAACAATGATCTATTTTATATTTAACAGACTGCTGCAACTGCACCTCCATTTGGACAAAATCAGCAACTGAGTAATAACCCGAATACAGTTCTTATTAGTTCATCATCGAATTCTTTGATGTCTGCCAGTGTTAAACCATCCTCTCAACCAATTGGTGCAATTGGTACTAAGGCAGCGCCTCATTTCCAAGCACCATCTGCACCGCAGCCAAATCAAGTACGTTGATTTTGACAACTGTTGTTTGTAATAACTTGCTCTGAATGTAAACAATTTAATTTTTATTATATCTTACAGTTACCTTACATACCTTATGATCCAAACCAAGTTCTCAGTGTAAGCGGTAGTTACATGGGTAATTCTCAATTGGTGCAAAGGCCGGGTCCTAATGTACAGGCATCGGCAAATAGTTACTATAGTGCCACTTCAGCTGGTAAATATAGTTTTTCCATTGTTTTTTGTTTCATTAATTAAATTTAAATATTTAACTTTGCTTGTGTGCTTCCTGTGTCATAATAGATGTATTCCCGGGCTCGCAAACTGGCTTTTATCAGCCAGGTGGTGCCACACAACAAACTGGCACTCACTATGGTCTTCAAGGATTTGGTCAACACAGTCAAAGTTTGGCAACTGGAAGTGCAACGCCTGTTGGTCTTCAAAACTTTAGTCCTGGATTTTTATCTAATTCTGGATTACAAATAGCTGCTGCTGCTGCAGCACAGCAATTTCGGAACCCAACCGGAGGTTTGCCTGCTCCAGCTAATGCTACTTCTACATTCCTAAGTAAACATCAACCGCAGGAGCAACCTAGACAATTAAAAAGTCCGTCAGGAAATCAAGATGTTTTAGCATCTGTTTTCAACGCAAGTAAGTAGTTTTTTGACATTTAAAATAATCAAAGCTTATAAAATACTAATGAATTAATTTTGATACACTATTTTTAGCTCCCCAAATACCATCTCCTAAATCGAGAAATTGTAAGCAACAGACATCATCACAGCAGCCGCAACCAAGTCCTACACAACATCATAAATATCAACAATATCAGGGCGTTAATCAATCTGCTCTGGTAAGCAGCTACAGCAACTATGTATGTACCATTCCTTTATATAATACATATATTTATATATAAAAAAAAAACACATAAAATAACGACAAGTTATTTATCTAGGAGTTTTGTTATAAAGCATTTATAAATGAATGATTGTTGAAAATATCTTAATTCTAATTATTAGATTACTTTCTAGATAATTATTTGTTGATATTTTATGTGTATCAGAATATTTGGATATTGGTCTTTATGCATAAAAATCAATTCGCAATTACTTTATTTGATATCGTATGATAAGTCGAAACAAATAAGAAACGTAATATTCTATTTTAATAAATTGAATTATATTTGTGCTTTCCAGTGTAAAGTAGAGTTCTTATAATTTTTGTTTATTTCTATTATAATTTATAAACTTGTAGGTATTACAACAAAATGTACGAGGAATGGGTATGCCTCCGCGAGCTGGTATACAACCATCTCAACAACGCTATCCACCGCCTATACAGAGGCCTGTTGTACCTTTTGCGCAAGGCCCTACCTTAAATAATTCGACGCAACAACCTAATTCCATGCCGTCGCAACAACAAGCACAGATTAATAGACACAGACCAAACTTACATCAGCAACAACAACGAAACATTAAGATGCAACAACAGCAATACTATTCTTCGCAAGGTTCGTTTATTCCGCTGATTTGTAAGTAAAAATAAAGGTTTTTTATTTTATTTATATATATTATTATTATTATTATTATATTATTTTATAAATTTTAATTTGTTATATAATTAGAAATATTAATTTATATTTTCCTTAGGAAATGTTAAGATCGATTCAAACGATAAGACTGATTCGCACAATGATAAGATCAACGATGGAAATTCTGGAAATCAATCAGGAGGTAACAAATCCAATGTGAATCAGCAAGATAGTGATACCAAGGAAGAAGTGAGTCAGCAAAATGAGTGAATGTGAAACCTGCAGATAAACGACCCATACACAATTAAGTGTTGAATCAAGCTTTATTAAAACGAATAACAGTAAAAAAAATAAAAACGCAATGTAGTATTTCCCCGATCGAAGGAGCGAATTCCATATTATGAAGTTTATCTTATGTTTGGCATATTGAGACAAACTGCTTACAAGATTCATGCAGATAATGGAAAGAAAGATTTTATTCAACGGCATATTAGGGATAAACGATTTGGTGGAATTACTCTTTAATTCAAACGTGCGGTTTTAATTTGATAAAATACTTTTGCCGCGAAACGTCCTCGTCTCCATGATTAAGAAAAAAAATGCGCTTGCTAAGCATTCCCATTTTATCAATCTGAGATTCACGAACTTCATTTATATCTCTAACGATGAATGTCGGACACGTATTAATAATAAAACAAAAAAAATAATAAATAAAAAAAAAAACGAATTATTTAGCGGATTTTGCACGGGATAATCGAAAATACAAAAATATCTACGATCGTTTAATAAATGCACTCGAATGAACTTCGGACGTAAATCGGTGTTCGTTTGTGTACTTAATTAGTAGTCGACGGTAGATGACACATTATATAGAGATCGCATCTTTTAAAAAGAAAAAACAAACAAAAAAGGTGGGAAAATATAAAGTGGGGCTGAGTTTAATGTATTTTCTTTGTTGTCGTCTCTATTGCCGATTTACAATGCAGTGCGCAAAGAACAGATGTAAGACAAAAAAAGTATTGTACGATCGTTGTATTATTCATATAGTGTTATAGTAGAAGAAGAACATTACTGATAAGGAAAAGAGGATAAAGAATAAATATAGGGAAGTGCGAGTGTGAGAGAGAGAGAAAGAGAGAGAGAGAGAGAGGCAGAAAGAAATTAATAAAGAAAGAAAAAGGCATTAGAGGGTAGAAAAAAAACTATTTTCCTCGTATATCGGAATAAGAGAAAAAACTAAATGAAGCTACTTCAATCGTGCACTTTGATCGTATGGATTTGAAATAATATCGTGATCCCGTTACAGTGACAAATGCCGTAAAACCGTGTTGTATATTGGACATTATGGATACCGCAAGGTTATGATGAACAAATCTGCGCAAAAAAATATTAAAAAGCAATTGTTTATATATACCGCACAGATCCGCGTCATGACCTCGCCTTGCTATGAAAGAAGAGAGTGTTCTAACGCGTTAGGTATGTAATGTACGGTATTTTTTTTTTTTGTGAAATGCGGGAAAAACGATAATATTATAATAATTACTCGGCTTGGAAAGTGTTCTGCCGAAAAAAGTGAAAAAAAAAAAAAAACACGCTATATCGCAGCATACAAGTCGTGAATAAAAGAATTGTATATTCTCTGCTTTTGTTGCAATTTAAGCATTATTATAAAAATGAAGCAAATAAAATAAACAGTAGTGTTTACAGGACTTTGTCGTTTTGCCAGTTTATTAATGCGAAGGTAGCATAGCTCTCGCTCTGATGTCGCGTATCTCGGTGAGAAAGAAAACAAAAAAGAAAAAAAAGAAAAGGAAAAAAAATCGATCGTTACCAATTAAGGTAAAATCGACGATCAAAAACACAACATACTGCCAGTCGTATCGACGACCATTGTATCTTTAAACTTTGGGGATTTTTCATGTTCTATTCGTAAAGATATTAAAGAATGCAAAGTGAAGTGTATAATCGAGGAAATCGATGAACTGCTAATGCACGAAATGGAGTCGTCGCAACGATTACATCTTAATGCGCGTCTAATACAGTGCTGATCCTAAAAGATCAGTTGCTATGTCATATGATTACTTTTCATCTTAAAAATCACATCTTACTCTTACAAATTTATGCAATTCTCAAATTAACAACTAAAATATGATAAAATACAAAATACAATGCAAGAACGAAAATGGCACGCTGCTAGGAAAGAAATGAGGATAACAGTGCCTTTGATGCACTGCCGCACAAAATAATCCTTGCTAACGTGTCGTCTCTCACCAAATGATTCGAATTATATCATGCAAGCGATATTTTAGAATCTTCGGCATTAAACTTGAATGATAAAGGCTCCCATTCTCATACCGTACGCGTTGATATTATAATTTTACTCGTATTACAAACATTACCGATAAACTACTAATTACATTATCACTTATAACTTTATCATATTTTTATTATCTTGATCTTCGATATTTTTCTTAATCATTGACGCATTCAATCTTACATTCTTTATTTCCGTCTGTTTGATCTACCACTTTTGGTTCCTACTATCTTCATCTCCATCTTCATGAATATCATTATTCATCGTTATCATCATGGTTCACCATCATCGCTGTCACCATTATGTCACCATTATTTCATCGTCATTATTATTATTATGTAATCATGATAATCGTACGTGTATGCTGAGTAAACGATAAAAATGAGATATAAAATGAAAAGTAAGATAAATAAAAACTGTTAAATCGATTGATTATGACTTAGGATATTTGAACAAAAATTCTTTGAGAGAAAGTCTAAAGTCTATTTAATCTTACCTATTATTGCTTACATAGCAATTACTTTTCTTTTGTTTTTATTTCTTTTTCTTTTACTTTTCTTTCTCTTTCTTCCTTATTAATTTTGTCCTGGGCATATCATGGGTCTTTTAAAAGATCTGCTATACATATATATAAATTATATAAAAGCGAAATAATTTTATGTTACGATAAATGCACTTAGCGACACCTAAATTTAATTAAAAAAAGAAAAAAATTATTGGACATACTGCGTTATCCCGCTGATAAAATTTCCATTAATAAACGCGTGTAAAAATTAAAATTAAAATGTATACACAACAAGATAATCTGTAATAAGTTTGTCAACATTCTTATTTGATTAATTGACATTTTATTACCAAATGACTTTTCATTTTGAAAGACTGAAACTTTTATACGTTTAATCGTCCTTCTCCCTTCCAACAATTATTCAAAAGCACTTACTACTTTCTTCGTATTAATGTTGCCTGCTAAAACGATTAAAACACCGTTAAAATGACTGTTGCCTTGTAACACTTGCGTAAGCTTTATACGTGAGAGAACGAGATATGGACCCTTGAAAAAACCCCAGGGCGCCTATAACTTTATATATCTACCCGTAGTTAGTAATATGACACCATTAACTTATACGTTTACGTGTTAAATTATGTGAATAAACTAATGAATGGTAAAGGGTTTGTATTATTAATATATATAAATATATGTATAATATATATATATTATATATATATAGATATATATTAATATTATATATATATATATATAAATATATATAATAACAAATATAGAAAACCCCCAGTAAATTGTAGGAGAGGAATGGATTAAAAATAAAAATGTATAAAACGCAATTCTCGTGTGAATGCATTCATAAAAGTTAATGAAAATAATTATTAATCACAATATTAAAAAGAAGAAAAAAACAACAAATAGGAACGACGAGGATGCATCGTATTCGTTTTTTAAAAGAATTTTTATTTTATTGCATTGTTGTTTTGGCCCAAGAAATTGTCATTTTATTATTCACGTTTTTTATCAACTGATCATGAAATTATTTATTATAATATGTACTACATACGGTATGCCAAGTTAACTAATAAAATAACATGTATCTTTGTGTTGTTTTTGAATTTTATAATTAATAAAATAAAAACGCGCATTTTAATAATTATTAACTAAGTGAAAGAAGAAAGCATTTTTAATACAATGATTATAATATATTTGATTTATTTTGTTGTTTGTTGGAGATTAAATTATTTGATCATATTATATTTCTTATAGATTTAGTAGAAAGTCATAAAAGTGTTAATTAGGACAAAATTATTAGCGATGTTTCAGATCAACGTTGTAAAATTGAAATATTATCTGTTTAATGATAAAATGAATTTATTTAAAAATCTCTCATATTGCTACATCGAGTATCCTTAAAATATGGTAATAAACATACATTTGATATAAATTTTTTACATTATGCATGTAAACATTTAGTAGTATCACGAAGATATACAATTTAAAGAAGTTGGTAAATATCAAACTACAAATTAATCATTTAATTAAAATACGTAAGCTTTGATCTCTACTCTCTACTGTATTATATTCGTCCAGTATGCCTGATTAATAAGATATTTCAATTAAAATAATTCATTATGTATTTTATTTATCAAATATTATTATATTTTATGTTCTATACTTTAAATATTTAAATCTCTTCGCGCTCGCGCGCAAAACGACATTCTTTTCTTTAATTATCATAAGTAATAGCATTTTATATAATTTAAATAATATTTTAATTCTATAAAAGATATTGATAATTTAAATAATACGATAGTAGAAAATCAAATGTTTTATATTATTTTAATATTTCATAGATATAATTATTTATAAATGTTTTTTAAATTTTTCGAATCTAGTGAATTATCTATATTCCATTGTTTTGATTGGCGGCTTTATCAGAGTCTAGTTGCATTGCTAGGCAGAATTACTAGTCAAATTAAAATGATAAACATCTCTAAATTTTAAAACAATCATCAAAATAGTAAATAACTTTTTTAAAAAGTATAGTTTTTAAACCTTTTTTTAAACTTTTATACATATATATATATATATATATATANCTTTTTTTAAACTTTTATACATATATATATATATATATATATATATATATATATATATATATATATTTGTTCAATTTTTAGTATATTAAAATTAAGAATCTAGTGTTCACGATTTTAACCATATGGCATATAGGGATTTTTTTCAATACTTTTATTTTCTAAATTGTATGCATAAATACAACTTCATGTATTAATAAATATTATTCTGTTTTTATATAAGTTACAATATATTTTCTAATATTATGCAATCTTGTGAAAGATCTATGAATTGTTTGCGCATAATATTTAATTTCCGTAAGATCGTATGAGCAGAAGTTTCTGCGCAAACGCTAGTTATACTACTTATATTTACGTTTATATTATATGAGAATGTATTAAGTTCATGTATGCATGCAATGTACATATGCAATGCGAACAGAATTAGCTGCTGGAAGCATTGTTTTTGTTAAATTTCATGATAAGTTTATAAAATAATGAGTATATCGACCTCAACAAATGTAAACCATAGTGGACATTCTCATAGTGGAGAAGCTTTCTTAAATATTCCAGTTGAATCTTCAAATTTAGATGCATTAGCAACAAAACGAAGAAGGTATTTATTATATATATATAAATTGATTGTTTATATCTCATGTTACAACACTAATCAAATTTTTTAAATATCACGTATACAAAGAAATGAGAATTTTATATAGTTTTCTCTTTACTAAAACTAACCAACAAATCTTAATTACAATCTTAGTTATATTTAACATTATTAATTACTTGTGTCTATATTTTTTTCTTTCTATACTTTATTAATGATTGAATCTTTTTTTACTTATTAGTTCATCGCGTACAATAAAACGCAGAAAATTTGATGATGAATTGGTTGAAACAACATTTAATCTGCAACCTTCTACAACGAGCACAAAATCAACATCAAGAACACGGACTTTATCGGTATCTGCTAGTCCACAGGATGTTTTGCCATCTCAAATTCTTGCAAGTCCTATGCAAATGCCACCAAACGTGACACAAAATGACAGATGTAATCGTAGGCCTCCTAGGCCAAGTGGTTCAAATGGATCTGGTAGAAAAAGTAAGAAAAATAAAAGCCA